AAAGCCGGCTGGTTGACCTTGGGCAGTCCCTTTCTCTCAGCCCAACCCACCTAACAGGGTTGTTGGTGTGGGGAAAATAGGAGGAGGAAGGAATATTAGGTATGTTTGTTGCCTTGAGTTGAATGAATAGATAAATAAAAACATAACAACAACAACAACATTATCATACTCAGTATTCTCATTACTTGAGAATGCTTTAACTGGAGGCATTTAAAAGAAATATTTGCAAAAAGTAGGATAATAAGGATGGATGTTGAATATTACTTACAATGCCATTCTGTACACTGAAGCCTAGTTGGTATCTGAGGTCTGGTCTTCTAATAAGGACAGTAGTTACTGGAGGACATCTCACTATGTTCAGTTTAACCCTGGCTTGTGTTTTTAAACCCTTGAATACAATATAGCAGAATTTTTGCATTATTCTTTTGAAATCTGCATTGGATCTTAAAATGGCAAATATGCTTTAATAGAGCATTTGGGTGGCATTACATTTAATTTGTTCTTAACATAAAAACAAGGTATATGGAAATAAATAATTATAAGATCTGCATCAGCTAAATTTATGCTTCAGAATGAACACAAGGATGGGTACAGATTATTAAGAATACGGTACAGGTTCTTCTTGCTAATCTGAAGTCTCTAGGCTCTGCAGTGATAACAGAATATTGAAGGAACTAGCTGAAGAGATGTTGGAACCTCTATAAATTGTCTTTGACAAGACTTGGAAAATTGGGGAAGTAATAGAAGACAAGGAAAGGAAAGGAAAGGAAAGGAAAGGAAAGGAAAGGAAAGGAAAGGAAAGGAAAGGAAAGGAAAGGAAAATTATTGATCACTGAACCTAATATTAATGCCTATTAATTAATGCCTTTACACTGAGTTAGAGAGCAGAAACCAATGGGGTCCCACAGGGATCAGTTTTGAAGCCAATATTATTCAATATTTTTATTGATGACCTGGGTAAAGGGATTGATGGGCTGATATCACATTTTCTGATGACACAAAATTTGGAGATCTGGCTGACACCCAGGATGTAGAATGAGATTGCAGCCCAACCTGGACAGGTTGGACGACTGGGTTGAGAGGACGACAATGTTCTTCAGCAGGAAGAAATATAAGTTATTACTTATATTTAGGAAAGAAAAACATAGGGCACACATACAAGATGGGGAAGTTTGTGGCTTGGAAGCACTACATCAGAGAAGGATTTGGGTTTGGTCATAGCTAAAGCTAAACATAAGACAGCAGTGTGAGACAGCTGCTAGAAAGGTTAACCTGCATCGGGCTGCATCAGAAGTTCTGTATCAAAGACACGTGATGTCCTTAATCACCTCTACTCTGCACTTACAAGACCACATCTGGAGTGCTATGTATGATTCTGGGCAAGACATTTCCAGTAGGATTGTGACAGATTAGAAGAGATTCAGAGGACAGCAACAACAATACTACAGGGTCTTGAGGTCATGCCCTATGAGGATAGGTTGAAGAAATCTGGGATAAGATTGGAGAAAAGACTGGGGTGACATGATATCAGTGTTCAGGTACATACCAGGATGCTACAGGGAAGATGCTCAGGTGTATTTTCCATTGTCACAGAAACTAGGATCAGAAATAAGGGGGCTAAGCTGCAACTAGATTTTGTTTAAGGAAAAACTTCCATCCTGACAGTAAGATCTGTACAACAGTCTGTGGAGGTTGTGAGTTCTCCAATTCTGACAATTTATTTTATTCATTTACTTTATTTGTATTCCACCCATTCTTGAAGACTCAGGACAACTAAAAATCAAGATCAGCATAAAATAAAAATCAACTCCTTCAAAAATAATAAACCCACCTATTAAATAAACAGAACAACAAAATCAGCATAATAAAACAGAAAATATAAAAGGTTAGGTGTACACCAGATCCCAATATTCATTCACAACATGCTCTTCTCTTGTGCTAGATGGTCTTAAAGGATCTCCATTAAAGGAGGGAAGGAACAGATCAGATCTCTGCGATAAACAAACCGCAAAGCAGCAATCAAAAGTGCCCACTTCCAAGGTCCTGTCAGATGAAAATCTCATATAGATAGGACATGAAAGCAGTTGAACTATTTGATCTAATTGGATAGGCAGATGAGCATGGGAGGCGATCTCTCTGATGACCCTATTAATGATAATGATAATGACATCCATATCTCAAGGCTGGTTTAATTGATTTTCCTATACGTATGTTGCTGCTAAAAGGTCTAAGAAAATTGTCACATTCCCCTTTTATTCTTTTCATCTTAGACGATCAACAAATCTAGAAATCCTTTGTCATTCAGAAGCATATGGAATGAATCTACCACTGTATTTTCAAGCATTGTTCTCAGGAACAATAAATCCATTTTCTTTAAGCTTGCCAGGTCCTCTTTCCCTTACCTTTATGACCTGAACTGTATGATGGAATCATAGGTGTCCAAGGAGAGCAACTAATGAAATGTGTGTTGCAGTCTTATGATACAAACTCTGCTATTTACATGTGTATAATGTCACAGTGTATATGTGAAAAGATGGTGCTTCTGTGCTCCCTTCAATATACATGCCATCATTTTGATGTTATCTTAGCTAGCAGCAATCACCTATGCCTTTTTTCATTGTAGGTTATTGTTTTAATTTATAAAGGGAATACACAGTAATATTTCTATCAATACGTTTTATTATCCCCAGTTCTTTATATTCAGAGCTTAAGAACAAAACTCCTGTTGGCTAGGTATGGTCAGGATCCTGCTTTAAATAAACAAAATTCATTTTCTGTACCTTTATGATACTCTGGCACGTAGAGAGTGGTAGGCCAACTAAACTAGTACCATTGATAGACATGATCTGGTCTCCAATGTTCAGCTTTCCAGATTTCTCTGCTGGTCCCCCATGCATCATATTGGCAATGATAACTGTAGGCAAGATGGATCCCCACCCAGATTCTACAATCACTACGCCCAGAATTTCACCCTTTTGCTTCTCAATGAAAACCTGAATAGAGAGAACAAAAATTAGAAATAATTTTCCTTTATGAAATGTACAAATCCTGCAAAGTTGCCCAAATGGGCATCACTTTTGCCTTACCCCTACACTGTAGTATGAATACAAGCATTTCAAAAATTTACTTTAATAAAAAGTATATAAAGCAATGATGTGTTCAATCACTGAGTGGAGATAAAGCAAGTAAACATATTAGGATTTTAACTGGGTATAAATATCTCCAAATTACAGATGCACTGTAGCTATTCTTCTACATATAGAGTTTAGAACTTTATAAAACCAGCTGTAGCTGTATGGAGTATTTTAAATAACTTTTCTTACAAATACTGTATGTCAACAGGAGAGAAATTGCTGATTGCATTAACTGTTTTTTTCCCTACTGACACACTGCAGTGATGTCCAGCATGCCAAATATTGGAAAGTTGTCTCTTCAACAGAGTGCATAGCACGTTAATCCAAGGTGTGTATATTTTTAAAAAATGAAAAGAGGAGAGAAGGGAAGGGAAGGGAAGGGAAGGGAAGGGAAGGGAAGGGAAGGGAAGGGAAGGGAAG